ACTGAGCCACCCAGGCGCCCGAGCGGTATTTATTTTAAGGAATTGGCTCACAGGATGATGGGGGCTGACAGGTCCCGAGATCTTCAGGGTGAAGACCCAGGAGAACCGACGGGTGGTCAGGCTCTGGTCTGAAGGCCAACAGGCTCGAGACCCAAGAGGAGCTGGCTTCCTTCCGTTTGAGTCCGAGGCAGGAAAAAGCGGGCGTCTCAGCTCCAGGGCCATCAGGCAGGAGGAACTCCCCCTTATTGGGGGGAGGGTCAGCCCTTCTGGTCTATCCAGGCCTTCTGTGGATTAGGGGAGGCCCACCCACATCAGGGAGAACAGTCTGCTTTACTCAGTCTCCTGATTTAAATGTCACTCTCACCCAAAAACAGCCTCACAGACACACCCCCAAAAAGTGTTTGACCAGTATCCAAGCGCCCCATGGGTCCAGTCAAGTTGACGCATAAAATTAACCAACCATCACAGTTGCCCTACAGCTGTGATCAGCCTTCCTGGTATTACTGCTTTTGTTCAGATTGTTCATCATTCCTTAATTCTCTTCTTTCTTCCCCTCTCCCAACCTTCCTTTATTCTTTTTTTTTTTTTAATTTGTAAAGGTTTTCCAAGGACACTTCCACAAGCAGAAGCCCTGGATAGAGCATATCAGGTAGACACAGTGATTAATCTGAACGTGCCCTTTGAGGTCATTAAGCAACGTCTCACTGCTCGCTGGATTCATCCGGCCAGCGGCCGGGTCTACAACATCGAATTCAACCCTCCCAAAGCTGTGGTGAGTCGTCGTGGTGGCTCAGACGGTCTGTGACTCTCTTGCCCTCCCCGATGTAAGTGTTAGGACGCCTGCTCCTGGTCATGTGGTGCGGTGGGTGAGTCCAGTGCACTCAGCTTGTTGGTAAAGGAATCCGCCGGAACGATGGGGGTTTGTTACTCATTCAGAACCATTTACGGATTTCCTACTCTGTGCCGGGGAGTGAGGACTCGGGGTAAGAAGGATTAGTGACCGCTGTGGCTTATTTAGGGGTTACCGTTGGGATTCCCAGGCTATCGCTGAGTCATTTTGTATATATATGAAATTATTGAGAGGCTGCTTTGAGGAAGTCTTTTAACTCTAAGGACCGATTCTGGAGATGACTCTGGGGTCTCAGGGCTCTGCGTTGCAATGATCTGAGTTTGGATTTGATTCTGTTTACTTAAAAGCACGCTTTTGTGCTTGGTGCTTGCCTAGAGATGTCTAAAAATCACTTAACTGCTCATAAAAATATGCTTCAAAGATAAGATGTTTGATCCCAGCCTCTTGTAACTCCTGTTCAGGGGATCGATGACCTGACCGGGGAGCCTCTCATTCAGCGTGATGATGACAAGCCAGAGACCGTTGTCAAGAGGCTGAAGGCTTATGAAGTCCAAACACAGCCGGTCCTGGAATATTACCAGTGAGTTTGTCGCTTTTCAGAACTCTTACATGGTGAAGCACTAAGTCAGTTTTCGATTATCCATGCTTTATAGCTGAAATGCGAAATACCAGAAGATCCGATTCAAATTGGTTTAAACAGTACAGGAAATGTATTAGCTTGCATAATAGACACTTCCAGAAGGTAGGTTGGGCTTCAGTCACCACTAGGTTTGATCAGAGTCTTGCCATTCTTTCAGCTCTGTGTTGGCTGTGTCCGCAGACTCCCAGCGTAGTTGCATGCAGTTGCCAGGAACAGGTGGGGCATCCTTTTTCGTGGAGGGATGAGTGATCAGCTTTCCCCCAAGTGAACAAAAGCCCCACATGTCACGAAGGGGGCACCAACGTGAACAGCCACTGTGGTCAGAGAATCCTGGCACTAACTGTTTTAGGCCTAGGTTACTGCCCGTTCTGGAACCAGCTCCTGGTTGGGAGGGACTAGGCTGGTGGGCTACCCCCTGGAGCGGGGAGTCCCCCCAAAGTCTGCTGTTAGGTAGAGGGAGGGCAGCCGTGGGTGCTGGGGAGGGAAGTCTGATAATGCCCACCACCCATGCTGCTGGAGGATGCTCAGAAGCCTCAGATGGCAACCTACCCTCAGATCATGTTTGGCTAATAGTCTTTAAAGATTTTTTTTTTTTTATTTGAGAGAGAGAGAATGAGAGAGAGAACACCTGAGAGGGGATAGGGTCAGAGGACGAAGCAGCCTCCCTGCCGAGCAGGGAGCCCGATGCGGGACTCGATCCCGGGACTCCAGGATCATGACCTGAGCCGAAGGCA